GACCTAAAACAGATCAAGCAAGATCTAGTAAAGTTTTCAGATGATCCCTAAAAGTACATTGAGGTCTTTAGAGGACTTACGCATACCTATTAACTAGGTTACAGAAATACGTTATGCTTGTATCAAACGCTGACTTCTAATGAGAGACTGTGAGTACAGACTTTACTCTGTGAGTTTAAGTATATTACAGATATCTGAGGATACGTATTTTCAGAGTGGGTTTATACAGAGCCTAGCAAGCACTGCTGCAGAGGTGACTGGATATAGAATTCAAAATGTCTTGAAGATCTCTTTGTCATTGGGCTGAGATTTCTTCTGGACTATTACCTGCCTTTGTCTTTGCAGGCTGACATTTTAGAACTTTTGACTCAGGGTCACATATTAGAAAGGAAGACCTAAACAATATAATTTAAACACTTTCATTTTCTTGCAAACTGACTTTCAAAAGGTTAAAAAGCAGCCATTCAGGTCCTTTGATTATTGGTTTCACTTTCTTTTTGTTCGTACAGTTGGAGTCAACATAACTTTTGTCTCGAGGCACATTTTGCTAAGGGCTAGAGATCTGCCCTGGGAAGGCTCTTGATCTTGTCTTTCTGCACCTAAGATGGTTAGGATTTAGTTCTTACCTGGAGTCACTCTTCTATCCTTCTCCACGCCCTGCCCCTGAGAAATAACACAGTTTACAACAGTGTTTGGGCCAAAGCAATTCTCTCCTCTGAGGCTGCTAAATTTCAGGACCAAGCTTCCAGAATGGTGAGCACCCCCTAAATAGTTAAAATTACTTTAACCATCTATCCCATTAGAGGAAACAGTTACATGTGGCTATGGAAACAGCAATTTTTTTTTTTTTTTGGTTTTTTGGTTTTTCTCCGGTACTGGGAACCGAACTCACGACCTTGCGCTTGCCAGGCAGGCGCTTTGCCGCTGAGCTAAATCCCCAGCCCCTTGGAAACAGCAATTTTGACCATCAACTGTGACTATAAAACTACTATGGCTATCAAGCAACAATGAGCAGCCTTTAGAGCTTGACATTCTAATCAGATAAACTGTCAGCCTATCTTAAAAACTCTTTGCCTTCACAGATGTAAAACTTTTGTATTTTTGGTACTGGGAATCAAACTCAGGACCTTGCACTTGTCAGGCAAGTACTATGCCGCTGAGCTATACCCCCAGCCCAGTAAAATGTTTTATTCCTTCTGATTCTTATTACAAGAGATCTCTGTTATTGACCTACAAAAAGTTCTGACTAGTCTATTTATAGTTGCAAACTTAAAAACTATAAAAGAGTTATCATAATTCAAACTGACTAAATATATTTGAGTGCACTGCAATTTTATAAACACATTGTCTTGTATGTATTTGTCTGTCTGTCTGTTCAATCTGTAAACAGCTATTTTGTTTCAACTCAAAAATTTTTTTTCTTCTTTTTTTTTTTTATTTTTGAAACATTTGTATGTGGTTTAAGTTGGCTTATAGATAAATGTCATCAAAATTAAAGACATGCTTCCACCCAAGCTGCCAGTTGGTCAAAAGATGTTTAAATTGGTTTTATAAATGTAACACATACTGTTTTCTGTGTATGATGACTTGAGAATCTTCCAATTACCACATCAAAACCATGTGTTAATTGGTATGAACTAGTCCTCATAGATCATCAAAAATTGTTGATAGTTAAATAGAGGGTTGGGGAGCTCTTTGGACAGGTCTCCCCTTGATGAATAAAGGAGTAGCTGCCTGGAAAAATCTTACTCCAGCCTTTGTCCATTAAGCAGTCCCCAGTGTTTCCCATGGCCTTATGGAAGACACCCTAGTAAACATTAAATATATTACTATGATATGTTTACACTGGTCATTGTCAAAAGGTTAAGTTTTCTGTAAATAAAACAATAAGGCCTTTTCATTAAAAGGTTCTCTTGGTACAAAACTAAATTAAGAAACAAAAGTTTTCATATGGCTACAACAATTCATTATTGCTAATCTCATGGTGTGTTGAATGCATTCATGCCTTCCAGATGCACAGGTCTTCTAAAATGTAACACCGAGACTGTTTATTGTGATAAGCCTTTTCTTTTAGATTCAGATATCTGCCTTTCTTCTGTGCTCCAGCTATTTGCAAAAAGAAGTATATGGCAAACCAACATGAGACTGAAAGGGAAAAAATGTACAAGAGAAATTGTTCTTTTTAAAACTTTGTTCTTTTGAAACTAGGCCCCAGGGGACGGGAACACAGTGAACAAACAGTGTGCCAAAGAAAGGTCAGCAGAGGGAGAAGTCGCCTATGCTTTCATAGAAGGCAACTGGTCAAGCAAAAAGCTGTGATTCATCCCGACGGCTGATGCTGACAGAAGACCTGAGAGGCTCTATGTATGGCTCCAAGGTAAATCCTGAGGAGACTTAACTGACCTTGACAGACAGCAACAGGTTTACTTCAAACAGGTCTCAATTTAACTTGGTCTTATATCCAGCAGAAAAGTATAACCAAAACTATTTAAAACAATGTCATAAATAATAAGCTAGATATAAGATAGGGCTCCAGTCACAAACCTTTCTGGCAGTTTTCAGCTACACTAGTAACTGACCACTATTATGGGTTATTAAGAATAAATTACAATAAAATCTATAAGAGTTTGTAACTGCTAAACTACAACATGACTTCTATCTGAGGGCCTTTAGATTAGCTCTCTGGAGAAGGCTCCTGACAGGGATCTCCCCTTACATCAAACCTTCTCAGCTCAAAGCAGTTAAGATGAAATCTACATCCAGTTTTTCCTAACTGCAGTTAGGAATCCTTTTTTAGAGGGGGAATATTATAGACAGCTAAGTTATTTAGACCCACATACTCACCTTTCTTTAAAAACAAACTACAAAAACAAAAATGGGGACTACAGTTACCTCCACATGCACAATTAGATCTTGTTATCTTTACCTTAAATTTTTTAAACCTGGTCGTAGAAAGTAAACACCCTCTATCAGAACTTCACTGGCAAAAGGACAAATCTGACAAGCATGCTTAGGGCTCAAGTCCTATAGGAGGACATCCAAACAGGAAAGTGGGACAGCCCAATGCAGTTAATAACATGGGGTCAAGGGAATGCTTGTATGTTAACAGACAATGGAATGCTGTTATGACTGCCCTCCCAGAATGTGTCACTATCTAGAGAGGACCATCCAAGCCCTGTGGTGGACCCTGCTCCTGTCCAGCCCTCCCGTGCAAGCATTCTCAAGGATGACCCCGGAGAAAACACCAACACTGAAAGTACTGAGATCCACAGAGGCTCCAAAACCCATGATATGGGGGACGGGACGGGGATATTGCTCAGCGCCTGCTCAAGTGCAAGGTCCTGAGTTCAACTCCTAGCACCACAAAAAAAAAAAGACAAAACAGAAGGCTTGCACACTGGTGACATGCCAGGGCTCCCCACAGACTTCTGAAAATATGTTTGCTGCTATGATGGCCAGCAAAGTTTGTACACTGTTTCAACTACTGCAATTACAAAAACAAGAAGAGGGAAATGTTGAGGACCACAAATATAAATTGACATAGTATCTGTCCAAGGCTGTTCTTGCCCTGCCTTATGGGCCGGTTTTGGAATTTGGAAATCCCGCTTCCTCTCGGGCACCACTGAGATCTAGATGGTCAGAGAGGCTGTAATGCTCACAGAGCAGGATGAAGTCTGCTGAGGATAATATAGGAAAACTAGTCCCCAGGTGTAAGGATAAATCATAATTTGTTTCTTTTATGATGTTAAACTTGCCCATTCAACTACTAATTCTCCACTGTTCCTGGAAAAGCACTACACCCCTCCAGAAGGGAGAAATTAAAATTTTAAATAAGGCCTGCCCAGGATGCCTGCCAAGACCAACTGGACATGTCTGGCAGGCACAATAACAGAACACTCCTTCCTTTCTGTAAACCCCTGTCTTTATCGCCTTTGTATAGCCGATGGCCTTGCAATGCAACTTAAAATGTAACAGGACATTTCTTCCTCTGTATAACCCATGCTTTGTATAACTGATGGCCTTGTGATGTAACCTGAAATGTTTAAACTCCCGCAGCAACCCAAGATGTCACCCAACCCTCCAATCATAATGCACCAAATCTGCCCATGTACCTCCTCCACTTACCTTCCCTTTAAAAGCCCCAAAACCCTGCCGAGTGGGGCTCTGACTCTTTGGGGGAGATCCTAGTCAGAAGCCCACCAATGTAATAAACTGCCTCCTAAACCTTCTCAGTGCCGTTTCTTCCTGTACTTGGTCTGTTTCCCACTGCACTGGCTAATGAAATAGTGGGTAGCTGGAGATTCTTGGTCTTTGTTCCCAGAGAACATTGATTGTCCAGAGCACTATGTCCTTACAGCTCTTGTCTCTTGCTCCTTTTCTTTCTCGCTGAACACTGAGATTAGGGACTCACTGCAGGGGTCCCTCATAACTGGTTCCACAGATAGGGGTTCTGATAACAAAGTATTAAAGACTAGCAAAATAGGGCCATTATAAACGATAGCAAATTAAATTTGATGCTGAAAACATGTAACTATGTCAAGTATCTAAATTTTCTGATCTAGAAAAATTGTGAGAAACCATAATGTTTTCATAGGAGTTAATTGAGTGTAGTTTTCTGGAAGCATTTACAGAAAGAATAATCACCCTTTTAATTTAAGTGCACTTATTATGCCCACATGTAACAAGACTAACTTCAGTAGATGATACTATAACCAATTATTCTATGAAATTTCAAGTCTTCTCTGGAAAGTTGGGGCCATAGGCCAAATCCATTCTCCTGTCTGTTTTCATGAACAGTTTAATGGAACATAGCCACACTCATTCATTTACATATTTATATACTGTCTATGGCTATTACAATAATATAATTGAGAAGTTGCATGAGAAACTGTATAGCCACAAAGCCTAAAATATTTACTAACTGGCCTTTACAGAAAAAAATTGCGGCCCCCTGCTCTAGGTCAGCAATCCAAGAATGTAATAAAGCCTATTAGACTCACCTGAGGGGTTGTCTTTCTGTATTGATTGCCTCCATCTATCACATCCATCATGATTTTTTCCTTGAGAAAGTCATATTCTTCTGGACTCAGATGAATGGGCTCTACGGTGTTTCCACAGCCTGAACACTGCCCGCTGTAATTACAATTTTTTAATGTTAAATAATGTCATGGAAAATAATTTTTCCTAAAATGAATAATTCTAAGACACAAGGAAGCAAAGATATTAAGAAAGAACATTACAACCTTTGTGATTGTCACACACATCTTATTTTTCCTGAAAACATCACATATTGTGTGTGCCAGCAAACCAAAGAGCGGAGAACCCAGATGAGATTTTTAAAGTAACTCCTAAAACAAAACTAGGCTCTAAATCTCTAGAAGAAAGTATTTCTATGTCTTCATACAGCCTCACAGCATCAACAAGAAAAACATTTTGAGTAACACAGTCTTCATATGCAAAACATGATTTTTTTCCTCAGGTAGTCTCATTATAAGCTCTTAATTATCCTGTCCCTACAGTATTCTTAAATATTTTTAAATCAATATAAACAAACCCAAATGAATCTGAATAAAACAAATGAAAAATAACTATTGGGTTTTACCTTTTCTGGATTGTAGTAAATTGGCCTTTCCATTGTTTTCCAGGAATACTACCAAAAAATAAAAAAAAGATTACAAAGCCAAATCATCAGAAGGTTATAGTTTTACTGAACCAAAAATATTAACTGTCTGTACAAAATCTGTAAGCAGAGCTCTCAAAGGCTCAGGATACTCCCCCAGAATGACTTAATACCAACAGCAGTTGTTAGAGTGAAGGGTGAAGGAGCAGATGGGACTCGACTCTTGATCGCCTTCTTCCTCTTGGTTCTCCTACATCTTTCCCAAGTCTAAATACACCTTAACTGGAGGTGATTTCCACAGGAAGCTGACGACCTCTGAACCACTCATTCTACCCTTTTCCATAGTCGACAGATTGCTCCTGTTCAGAGTAATTTATCTTCTCTCTCATACTTTTCCCTTATAGACCACTGTTTAACTGTCAGAATGATATTCTTAATTAGGCTGAGAATGCCATCATAACAGATTTCATACCACAAAACACTGTGCCCTAGCCTAATTGGAGGCACTCAAAAACTATTTGTCAATTTATTTGCTCAATCAATTTACCTTTTCCTCGTACATATATCACCATGAGTTCCTACTGATTTTATTGCTTTTTCTCCTTCCTCAGTTCTTAATTCAGGACCTCACCACCTCTCACCCAAATCTAATCGCATCCAAACAGATATCCTTGTTTCCAGGCTCCTTCTTGTTTTGACAATTATCTTTCTAAAATCTACACCAAAACGAGCATTCTTGATAACGGAATAAAGTCAAAGCTCCTTGGCATTCAAAGATTCTCACACCTTGGCTCTTCCTCTATTGATACTCAATAAGTCTGTCAAGCTAATTAAGCATAATTACTACTTCAAAGCTCTGTAAACTTGATGTATGAGCACACTATCCCAGTCACTAGATTTCAGAGAAACTTGGAAAATACTAAAATGGCCTAAGGACAGGTCCAGTCAAATGCTATACAGTAGTACCTCAGTTACCACTTAACTGTTTCCACAGTTCTAGTTGCAAATGAATTCTGCTGCCAGAATCAGGGAATTATAGTTGAACCAAGGTACCACATTATTCTTTTCTTTTGCAAGCTCAGTGGAAAGGCCCTGTTCAAACCCTGGTACAAGAAAAATAAGTGCTCTGTAACTTACTTTTGATGTGAAGGCTACAGATTAGCACAAACTGTCTCTGCTGCTATGTACTTTGGTACTACTTTTTTTCCCCCCCAAGGGCCAGGGATTAAACCAGGCCCTCCAGCCTGATAGGTAAACACTCCATGGCAGTACCACACCAGCCCTCTGCTACTACTTGTTTTAAGCAAAGAAAATGTTGTCTTAAAGAGGAAACAAATCTTACCTAGAGATGGAAAAAGGTTTAATCTGAGTAAAATGATTTGCAGCAACAAAAAAGGGCTTTTAGATATAGTTATAAAAATATCGTTACCAAAAACATACACAACATAAAAATAAAAATTACCTCTCAAACCATGTTTTTATACTGTGGGCAAATGACTCCCCAGGATACAGGTGGTTATTTCTTAAATACAAAAGAATGTCTAATAGTTTACTGGAATAGTGATCATCCCTTATGTCTTTTCCAAAATCAAAGAAAGCTTTTAAAGTTTCCAACATAGGAGTAAGGTTACAACTTAGCAGTTCCTCCCACAAATTCCAAGCCATGTTCACATCTTGATGAAGGAGGGCTCCCTGGATACAGTCGTCATAGTTCCTCACCGAAGGGGTCAGGACTTTTTTTATGTCTTCTAATAGCTGCAAGGCCTCTCTCCATCTGTCTGAATGGATTAATCCCCGGATGAGAAGAGTGTAAGCCCCAGGTTCTAAACTCTTGTATCTGGCTTTCATGATTTCATAGACATCAACAACTTCTGACGTCTGCTTATGGAAGACACAGATATGCAGATACATGACCAATAAGTTATAGCCTACAATACCATTGTTTTTTGCTGCCACCCATGCCAGGAGAGATTTAGCCACATCTACAGAGCTGTGGTTTCGAGACATCTGTGCGCCGATCCAGTTTTCAAAATTCCCCTTTCCTGTGTAATCTTCCTTAAGTTTATCCCACTCCTCTGAACTCAGTGGTTTTGTTGGGAGTGGAGTATTTTCCCTCTGGAGTAACACGGTGTGATCTTTATTGGGAGGATTCATCTCTGATCTCTTCTTAGCTGCTCCAGCAGCAAAAAGGGAAGGAGGAGAAATCTGCTTAATACCGTCTTCATCTCTTTTCTTGACCAATCTGCCCTTAGCAGCCAGCATGTTCACTGCTTTGGTATTTTGTGGAGACATAGTTTTAAGAGAAAACCACCTCTGCTGATTCCTGAGGCCACAGTCTGTGAGAAAGAGACAGGGGTGAGAGTGCCCTGGGCCTAACCCAAGGTACGGCTTGCTCTTCCAAAGCTTAAGAAAGCTTCGAATACCAGCCAAACAGGTCATTCTGCGGTGAGATCAGCACCAGAGAGGCCCTTACTTCTATAGCAGAATTAAAAGACTAGAGGGTGGAGGCAGAGTGCGATTTTTTAAAAGGAGACTGTTTCTTCTTTACAGACACATCAAGCACGGTTCTGCTTTTGGGGCCACGTAAACAGGAGCGAGGGCAGTTCATTAAACAAGGACCGGGGAACGTCCAACATGGGTGAAAAGCTCTAACCCTGGAAACAGAGCCGTTATCCTCTGGTGCCTGTCACATTCCGGCCCGAAAACCTGAAGAGAAAGCACAAGGAGCGCTCAGTTGGACTCCGGTGGGTCACAACCGTTCTGAAAACGCGCAGATCCCCCAGGAGCCAGAAGACGAATAAACTCAAATGCACTCCGAGCAGCCCCAGCCCCAGCCCCAGCCCCCCCAACAGTGCTAGCGAAGAAAGCCGAAGTCCGGGCGCCTCTTCGAGAGTCACAACTCTCCTCAGGCCCCAAAACTCGCCTGATGCGGGAAGAGGGGTCGGGGAGGTGGGGAGTCACCTAGGCCAACCACTCGGGTAAAGAAGCGAGGCCCGGTTAGAGCACCGACTTGACTGCATACTAACAGCAGCCAAAATCCACTCCTTTTAACTACTCACCACACCACGCGGGCTTGTGGAACTCAGAAACGCGGCGCAAACTACAGTGCCCACAATGCACCGCGCGGGCCCGGCGTGCGGGGTGGGCCGAGCTGAACGCCTGCGATCTGGCGCCTGCGGTGGGGAAAAAGGCGACTGCCCAGCTTTTACAGGCAGGGGCAGTGGACAGCCGTAGGGGCACCTGTTATATTCACAGGACCGTTAAAGCCGCCATGTCAAAAAAAATTGTAAAAAGGATTGAAAAAAAGAATTGTAAAGAAGGGGTGTCTCTCAATCCGGAAACGCTAATGGAGTTCTGGGTCACGTGGTGCACACGCGCCAAAGGCCCACGATGAAGAAATTAAAATGCGGGGTTCCTTATCCTAATCTTTAATATCGGGCTTGGTGAGGTTGGGCCTGCTTAAGGAGGATCATTTTTCATCTCTTTCATATCTACTTTCCCGCAGCGCGATTGCCGAATCCTTAGGAACAGCTACAGAAACCGAATGTTATCCCACCCCCTCCCCCGCTCTCGTTAGCTGCAACTTCCGCCCATGTCCAAGATGGCGGCGGGGCGGCCTTCCTGACCCGGACGGAGTCTAGCTGCGTCCCGCGTCGTGGCTGGGAGAGGGCGGAGTAGCTAAGAAACCGCAAATGCAGGCGCTGCCGCTCGGGAGTCAGTCATGGACTGGAAAGAAGTCCTTCGCCGGCGGTTAGCGACGCCCAACACCGTTACAAACAGTGAGTCTGGGAGGAGCCGCCCGCTGGGATGGCCCGGCCCTAAATTAGAGGCGGGGGAGGGCAGGGAGGAGGAGCAAGGGGAACCCTACTTCCTGCTAGGTAGAGCCTCTCCTAGCAAAGGAGGCGGAGAACATGTGTTAGGGATCTGGAGTTTTGGCCCAGACTTCCCTAGGAAATGAATGATCTGCTAGAGCGAAAACCTGACTTGCACGGTCTCAATCTAGATTTGTGAGGGATAACAACTCTGGCTCTAACGACTCTTCCATCCCACCGGGACCTGTGATTCGTTGACTTTACGCCTTTGTACTGACACACTTTTCACTTCCTTCCTTCCTTATCTACTTTATATTTCACAATCTATTTTTCGTTGTTCTTTTCTCTTCTTTGCACTTGGCATATTAACCTGCTTAAATCTTTCCTGTTCTACACTTTCATTTAGGGCAGCTGAAATTGTCTGGAGTAAGACAGGACTGTGGTAAGTTATCTCACTTTAATCCATGTCCACTGACCTAGAGTGGGTGTCCCCGTCACGCCTGGTGTTTCCCCGTCCTGCCGTGTTCCACATTCAGCTCCTCTCATCTCTCAAACCTCCCGTCTTGTCCTACTTCCTCCATACCTTCAGATGAGGAACTCTTTAATGTTGTCTCACAGAGAAAGTAGAAGCAAAGGAGAACCTCACCTGCTTTCATTCACCAATTCTGTCACTTTCACGCCCTAAGTGCCGTACATTCTGCTTACTGTTGAAGTGAAACAGTCATGTACTTACCTGAAAGTCCCTCCATTCCAGCACTAGATCATGTTCCTTTTGTAGGAAAGTAAAAGGGGTGCTGCTGCAGATCCAAGCTAGGTCCTTGCAGAGCCAGGGCCTGTGCAAGTGCTCCACAGCTGAGCTCACCTCCAGCTCCACATTCCCTTTCTTAATAGACAACTTGTCTCCAGCCTTATCATCTTATTTGACCATGTTATACATGGTCAGTTTTTCCTTCTCTATGGACATTTCCGTCAGCACTGACAAACATGCTGGCATTTGCTCTGTCTTTTAGGAAAACAATCATTTGACCCCACATCCACCTCCACCCTCTGCTACATTTCTCTGAACGCTTTATAGGAATACATCTGGGATTGGGGGTGTAGTTAGAGGTAGAGCAGTATCTTCAGCCCCAAAGGGAAGGGAAAAAAAGAATATTTGCTGGGCATGGTGACACACACCTGTAATCCCAGCACCTCAGAGGCTGAGGCAGGAGGATCACCGTGAGTTCAAGGCCAGCCTGTGCTACATAGTGAGTTCGAGGCCAGTGTGAACTACCAAGCGAGACCCTGTCTCAATAAACACAGAAGGAATACTTGTCAAAGAAGTTATCTCTACTTGTACATTCTTCTGTCCATGTGTCTTAAAGCCCACTCAATCTTTAATGGATATTTATTCCATGTGTTACATGCCAAGTTCTGTTCTACACTGTAGCAGTGAACAAAACAGACAAAAATCCCTATTCCTGCAGAACTTACACTTTAGTGTGGGGAGAGATGATTTAATTAAATTATCTAGGTCAGTGATAGCAAACCTATTAGAGCTGTCAGTGATACAGACAGCCCGCTGCCATGTCCTGTGCAGCTCTTGAAACTTCAGAGGGAGGACTGTGGGGGTTAAGAAAGACGGGAATCAGAATACAAAAGCTGAGGTGAGGTAGAGCCCTCCTGCTGGGAGAAAGCGAACTGCCCAGTATCTGTAGCATGTTTCTTTATACAATCAGCAATCAGCATGCGTAAGTTCATACAGAGTTTAAGGGGAAGGTAGAATCTGGGACAGGGAGAATATCCAATCTGTTAGAGGAGCAGTCAGCGTGTCTTGGTGACTTCATGGGAAACAAGGGAGAACACTGTTATCGCAAGGGAAGATCAGGTCACTATGGCAACAGCTCCCTGGGCTGTGCACATCTCTCATGGGACCCTGCCAAACTCATAAGAAGCAGTGGGCTTGTCCTAAAAACCTGAGGTCCAGATAGCTTCACTCTCAACAGCCCGCTGTGGCACACACGCTATAGGTTCGCTACCACTGATTTGAGTAGTATAGGTAATAGTGCCTGTTGAAGGATGTTTTTCTTTCCTTTTGGTGATTGAACCCAGTAGTGTTCTGTTGAACCCAGGACTGAGCTTCTGCCCCAACCTCAGTCCTTTTTATCGTTTGAGATGACATCTCGATAAATTGCACAGGCTGGCCTTGGATTTAGATCCTACTGCCCCTGCCTCCCAAAGCAGTTGATCTCACAGGCATGCACCACCACACCTGGCTAGGGCTGTTTTCTTCATCAGTGTTCTAGCTCCTTTGTGCTAGATCCCTTTTTGCCTACTCAAGGATGTAATCTCACTGTCATCCTCTCTCCTGCATCGTTACTTTTTTTTAATCATTATCATCCGCATATAAACGTGCTGCTATTTCTCTCATCTTAAACTTTCATAACTTAATTTCCTATCTCTGGCTGTTGCCTCCTTTTTTTTTGTTTTTTGTTTGCCTTATAGCAACAACATACTAAAAGGGTTATTGGTTATATCTGTATTTGTCTCCGGTTGTCCTCATTTTACTTGCAGAAGTTTGTGCTTTGACAGTGGAGTAGAGGGAAAGCTTTCAGTCAGGGACTGTAGTTATCCACAGAAGTGTTGATTCATCCAAGAAAGGAGGTGTAGCTGAACGAGACAGTCTGTGCCAGCAGCAGGCAGGCTGGGGGGTAAGAGGGCCTTGAATTCTGAGCTTCACCTGGAGAGGGCTCTTGCTTTAGGTAGAGGAGCAGTGATGACGAGGTGGAAAGTCCAGGAGGGCAGGGCTTGGGCTGTTTTTCCCACCCTTAGACCCTGGTATCTGTGAAGACTTTCAGGAGGCTATTTCAGTGGCCAGTAGGGCTTGGTGTTTTCAGAAAGTGAATACAGTGTTCAGTGTCTAAGCACAATTTAAACAAAAAAAAAAAGATTGCACAGATGGTGATGTTTTGGGGAGTTGGTACATGCCTGTCACATACCCTGATCATTTTCAATCCCCTTAGTACCCCCTTACCATTTCCTCCCACTTCTCCCTCCCATCCTTCCCCATATTCAACAAGCTGCCTCCTAGTTTCCTGTCATTTCTCCTTTACTTTTCTTGTTTATCCGTGTTTTAAGTTCTTACACAAGAGGAGTGAGTCTGGCTTACTCAACTTAACAGGATGGTCTCAAGTTCTGTCCATTTGTCTGCAAATGACAGGATTTCATCCTTTTTATGGATGAATTTTATATATACGTATATATACACACACACACACATTTTGCCCATTCCTCTGTTGATGGGCATTTAGACGGTTTCCTTCTGATAGAGGATTAATATGTAATATATTTTTAATATATATAAAGAACTCAAAAAAATTAACCCCCCAACATAACCCAATTTTAAAAATGGACAAATAAACTGAACAGATACTTCTCAAAAGTAGGAGTACTAACAGCCAATTAATATATGAAAAAATGTCCAGCATCTCTAACCATTAGGCAAATCAGAGCTACACTGAAGCTAAGTGTAGTGCACATCTGTACTTCCAGTACTTTGGGAGGCTGAAGCAGGAGGATCACAAGTTCAAGCCTGGTCTAGGCTGCTTAGCAACTTACTGAGACCCTGTCTCAAAATTTAAAAATAGGAAAAGTCCTAGGGATGGAATGCAATGAAAAGGTGTTGGATTCAGTCTCTACTATGACAAAAACAAATAAGAAAACCTAACAGTGAGAGTCCAACCCAACCCAGTCAGAATGGCTGTCATCAAGAATACAAAAAACAGCCAGGCGTGGTGGCTCATGCCTGTAATCCCAGCACTCGGGAGGCTGAGGCAGGTGGATCATTGTGAGTTCAAGACCAGCCTGGGCTACAAAGTGAGCTCAAGGTCAGCCTGAACTGCTTAGTGAGACCCTGTCTCAAAAAGACAAAAAAAAAAAAAAAGAATACAAGAAACAATGCTGGTATTTGGGAGGAAGGAACCCTCTTACATGGTTGGTGGGAATGTAAACTAGTACAAACACTATGACAGTGTGGAGAGTCCTCAGAACACTAAATATAGAAATACCATTTGACCCAGTTATACCTGTCCTGGGTACATTTCCAAAAGAATTGAGTACAATTTTGAAGACCTTTTTGGTATCAACTGTTTTAATTAGACTTTAGTGTATGGAATGAGCTGCATAAAAGCATTACTTGATTTTTTAAAAGGGCATTTCTCCTTTTAATTTGTTCTGCTACTAGAGAAAAAAAGTGAACAAGAATTAAAAGATGAAGAAATGGATTTATTTACCAAGTACTACTCAGAATGGAAAGGAGGTCGAAAAAACACAAATGAATTCTATAAGATGATTCCCCGGTTTTATTACAGAGTAAGTGGTACCTAAGCTGATGTCTTTTAGAGTCTGTAAGTACAATGTAATTTTAAAAATGGGATCAGAATTTTAATTTTTAAAATTAGAAGATTATACTTTGAACTTTATATATTTC